ATGAAATATCCTCGTAAAGAAATATTATATGCCAAATCCTTGTTAAACAAAAGGATAATATACCAGGGGTCCCTAATTCTTCCCTGGCCACAAACCAGAGCACATGTCTGTGGCCTATTAGGAACCAGGCCCCACAGCAGGAGGTGTGGGGCTGGCACGTGAGAGGAGCTTCATCTGTATTTACAGACACTCCCAATCACTCGCATTACCACCTGAGCTTTGCCTCCTCTCAGATCAGTGGCGGCCTTGATTCCCATAGGAGTGCAAACCCTGTTGTGAACTGTGTATGTGAAGGATCTGGGTTGCACGCTTCTTATGAGAATCTAATGCCTGATGATCTGTCACTGTCTCCTAGTTGTAGGAAAACAAGCTCACGGCTCCCACCGATTCTACATTATGGTGAGTTGTATAATTATTTCATTATAAATTACAATGTAATAATAACAGATATAAAGTGCATAATAAATGTAATGCACTTGAATCATCCTGAAACCATTCCCCATGCCACTTCTGGTCCATGAAAAAATTGTTATCCATGAGATTGGTCCCTGGTGCCAAAAATATTGGGGACTGCTGTAGTATATAATATGCATTGTTCTGCCCCATTCTTCTTTCCCTTAAAATATATAATAGAAATGATTTCATGTTGCTACTCCTACTTATACTTTCTTTGTTTTAATAGCTCCATGGCATTCCACAGTATGAATTTAACATACTTTATTTAACCAGTTAGCTTTGGTGACTGTTTAGCTCAGTCTCAGTCTTTTGCTATCATAGAATAGTGCTACAACTAGGATCCTTGTTTACATATTATCAAGCATATGTCCAGGTCTTCAAGTCCTGATTTATTTTTACTAAAACTGGGTAAGCAATGGGAAAAAAATAACCAAGTAGCATAGGAGGCATGGTAATAATAATTGAAAATAGTATGCATTTAATTCTTATAAATCTAGAGAATATATTAATTACTATTATTATTGTCATTGCTATTACTGATTTAAGTGAGAAAGCTAGGATATGAATTCACCCAAGAAGCTTGTCTTTTGATCCCTGGCTCTTGTTTGCTAGACAGTTTCTTGGTGATTCTGTTGCTGCTTTGGCAATGAGAGTGCATTTATTGGCTATCTACCATGTGCTAAGCAGATGACATGTGTTAGTCACAGTCTTCATGATAGCACCATGAGATGTTGTTGTTGTTGTTGAACAGTCTTACTAAGGTTTAGTTTCTTGTCCAAAGTCCCACAGCTAGCAAGCAAGGAGCTAGGAATGGCCTGAAAGCAGGATGTCTGATTCTTGAGATTAAGGCACAACAGAGAAGGGAGGTATTGATTCAACATCTAGCAGGCTGGAAGACAGAAAGAAAACTAATATACATATGAGACTTAATTAAACATGTTGAAGTGATAAGAGGGATAGGAAGGGCTGTCACAAGGACCAATGAAAAATAGTTGGTGGCACAACAATAAAAGCATCTGTAGCAGAGAGGAGGGCTTAGTGGTCTGTGTGGATCGAGAATGGAGTCTTCAGGGGGAATGTTTCCAAATCTAGATTGCTTTGTTCTCACCAACTGCACCAACTGCTTCAACCATTAAAACATTCCACACGTGTACATTGTATTTATACCTTTAACAACCCATTGTGACGCGCCCTTACTTGCATGCCCTAGAGAAAGAACAGCTTAGATGACTGCTATGAGTTGGACTTTGTGGCCACAGGGAGCAAGTGCCCACATTAGAAAATAAAAGTAAGAGTGCCGAGAAAAGTAGAGTGCTGAGATTCTTCAAGGCAATGCCAGTTTCTCCAGGTCAATTTCTTGTATTTTAATCTCTGTTTCTAGCAGTTGTACATCTTTGTAGGTATGCCGTAAGCAGCCATTAAAAAAGGCAAAATTGTAAGACCTACTGGTCTAGTAAAATTGTAAGGTCATGTAGATCTTATACGAAGTGTAATTTTAACTGAAGTATTCTACAGCTGTTGGTTATTATTATTGCTGTTATTATCTTATAAATCAAATTTAGTATTTAGACCACGTTTCTGTTGTTTGGCCTCTTAAGTTTTGAATACTGAATTTTCCTTGTTTCAGCATATCTTATTTAATGCAGTGATGTTTTGGTAATATATAATAGAAAAAATAAAAAGTATAGCACAAATATGTCAGAATTATTTATATGCTGGTTATAATAAAAATAATAACTAAGATATATAATTGTTTCCTGTGAGTCAGATAATATGCAGTTTTATATACATTATATGGTTTAATATTAAGAACCTGTCAGGTAAGTATTACAATTATGATTGTTGTTCCCATTTTATAGATGGAGTCTTTTATTCTACATTTTGAGATTAACAGTTAGAATGGCACTAAGGCAAACTTTTGTAAAAGAAGAAAATATTTTCTAATTCTACAAAACATAGGTTCTAGTTTAACACTTCTCCTTCCAGTCTTTCTTCAAATATACTCAGTAATCAATATGTGTACAATTTTGTATTCTGCTTTTTAAATTCAGTATAGTCATAAGAAGTTGGTTTTATCAGCCTTCCTTATTGCCGTATAGTGACTGCCTATGATTAGTTGCCAAAATTTATTTTTTAATTTATTTTTTGGAGACATTGTTTCCATTCTCTCTTATAGATATCATTGCAATGAAAAACTTTGTGTACTTAGCATATTTTATTCTCTGGGAATTTCCTAGGAAGATGTTCCCTCTAGCCAAAGAATAAAGATCTTTCTGACTCATTCTAACTTCCTGAGTCAAAGTAATTTTCACAGGAACAAATAATGAGCATTATTAATGCTTATTTTAAAATCTTAAGAGAAATGTCTACTTTGAACTCTTTAGGAATAAACTCTTTCCAGTATTTTAAAGATAAAATTTTGAATACATATGTTATTAATATATGGTAATTCATATAAAAGCTAAAGAGTGAATTTTTGCATCATTTAACTTTAAAAGTAGGTGAATGGGCTGAGGAGGATGATAGATGCAAGGTAAATATTTATTCTTCATTGACGTATTTCTTGAGAAACTGCTCTTTGCCAGCCCATACAGTGGTTGCCAAGGCTATGATAATGGATGGGATGCAAACAGCTCATTTCCAAATAGAACATCACTGAAAGTCATAGCACGGATTCTTTGTCCTTGACGTGCCACAGTGCACTCTTGTCCTGACATTTCTGATTTCTTTGTTCTTTTGCTTGTATGGAATCTGACTCATTTCTTACTATCAGCCCAAAATATGAAGGATAAAGAGTATCTTACTCTCAAAAAGATAGCTATGTCTATATAGATATATAATTTCTAAGAATTTCTAAAATCATATTCTCTTTCTCCCATGCCAACTCTGGTGGGACTTTAGAAACCCTTTTTCTTCCCAGGATGAAAGTAACCTGCTTCACAGTTTTAGGAATCCCTAAATTGTCTCATCAATGTTGTATCATCATCTTAGGTTGTGTCTACATACATTTATCAGCTTATCTTTGCAGTGCTTTAAGCTAAACAGAGATTTTGGGCCCTCCATGGCAGGGATGTCCTCATGTAAAAATAAAATGTAATTTAGGATGTGTATCATGAATTATTAATATAGTGCACCATAACTGCGTTTTCACAAATAGAGATAAAATATTTTAGGTTGTGTTCAGGAGCCAAAAACACATAATTCTTAGGTAAAATCAACTTCAGAATTACAACTTTTCCCTAAATTTCTCCATCCCAGAAAGACTTACTAATTTGTTGATAAATATAACTTTATTACTGTATGATATACAATTCTCTTTCAAATTCTGCTGTGCAAATTTTTTATTTTGTTGATACTCAAACACTTCAGTGGTAATTTTTTAATAAAAATTGCATCAAGGTAATGGCTTTCCATGTAGATCAAGCCCTTTGCTGCTCCATTGGATGCTTCGCTCTGAAAAATACTGTTATATCATTTTGTAGGTATGTTTTGCGCATTACCTAATATATATTGAAATTTCAGTAAATTCATTATGCATGTGTTGTGTATATTGATCACCCAATAGATACACACTTACATATGACTTCAGTAGACTGACTTTTTGAAGGAAAAATTTGTATTAATATAATGATATCTTCCCCAGCTTAAATTTGCATGTTAATTTTTAGCTAACATGCCCAAATTAGTTTTCTCATATTATTATACAAAAATATGATTTGAATTTTTAGCAAAGATAAGTTTCAAGAATTGGATTTTATAGAATACTCGTCTTCACAAAAAAGGGATAGATGAAGATAATTTCCTTTTTTAAAAATAATTTCATTTATTATACTTTAAGTCCTGGGGTACATGTTCAGAACATGCAGGTATGTTACATAGGTATACACGTGCCATGGTGGTTTGCTGCATCCATCACTCTGTCATCTACATTAGATATTTCTCCTAATGCTAATTTCATAATGTCAGAATACTGATTCCACAGGTTGACTTGGGCTACCTCATTGTAAAGCTGGCTCTGCCGGGTAACAGTCGACTCATGGGCATCACCAACATAGCACAGAGGTGGAGAAATATTAATACAAGTGCATCTGAAAAAGGAGCTGTGATCAATTTTTTAAAACTTTGCTTAAATATCTAATATCCTGTAGCCTTAACATTGGGATTGAAGTCCTCCCTGTTGCAACTTAGCACATACCCTACTGTCTGAACTCAAAACCCTAGGAACTACTGAGATCTGAATGTATTCTTGGTTTCAAATCAATCTTGTCACTCCTTGGAAAGCAATGCAAGATAATAAGTAGTATTCACCTGATTGCTTTCCTGCTCCGAGACAGCTGGTGACGCGTGTCTTCCTGATAACCATGAGTTTCAGATCTAAGGCAGGGATAAAGGGAAACTGGAAGCTCTCGGAATCTAAATGTGACAGTCGATGGCTGAGGAGAGGGTCAGAAGGAATAGAATCTGTGACACGTATGAGAAAGGAACAAAATTTATCTGCTCTGGTTGCAATGATTAGATGTCTCTTTGTCTGGCTTTCCTTACAGTGGGTGACTGATTGTACCCGCCAGCTGGCTAATGTCATAATTAACAAAGTTGCTACTACATCTGCAAAGTTTAATCGAAAAATTTGCCAGTGATATGATGGCATTGTCTCAGAGATCACAAGGGACATGGAGTCGACTTTTGCTCAAGGTGGAACGACAGAGCTGTGTAGGCAAGATGAGAAATTGTGAACTTGTTCGGCCAAAGGTATGTTTCTTTCATAATTCCACATCCTAGGTTTTTTTATTAAGATTTTTGTTTGATAGTACATTGTTTCTTTTTTTGTTTCTTGACTGAATTGATTCAGAAGAAGATCCAGATGCTTTTTGGGCATTTGTAGCATATTCTCTGAAAGCTTTTTATTTTTCCTAAATCTGTAAATTCATAATACAGCTAAACAGCTTTTGATGACGAAAATGGAATATAAGGCAATAGTTTGTTTGTTGGGTCTAGCTAATCTTGATCAGTTTTCAGAATAAGTATTTGGTAACATATCAATGGTACATTTAGATTATGTAGCGTTGGATTTATGTTGCTCAACAATGTAAAAGCCGTTGCTCTGCATTATTCTATTGTGTCAACCTAGTTCTAGGACAGGAAAAAAAGCAAGTGTAGTTATGGAATATGTGGAGGTTCTATTTTAGTTTCAATATATGCTCAAAGGAAGGCTAAGGTCTTGACTTTAAGTTGCACAAAGTAATTGGGGCTTTTTAAAACAACATTTATAAGGACAACTATCTCTTGAAATTATGTGCTGTTCTCCACGGCCAGTCTGGTCATAGACTATTTATGTGTATTTTCTTTTTACTGTGATTTGCTTTGCTTGATTGAATATTCAAGCTTTGAGGAGTCTCCCAAACCATAGCCTTCCTGTATTGCTAATTAATGAATGTGAATATTGATGAGGAAGGGCACGCACGTCTGTGTATGTGGCTGCGCACTTAATCTAACTACAAAGAAGGAGGAAGAGGTCTCAAAAAATATGCAGAAAGCAAGTTTGGGTTATTTATGCGGTGTCATACCACTGTTACCGTACCTAGGAATCAATTTACAATATAATTGGGGACATGCATTAAGGTTCTTCCCTCCATGGTCATCTGAGCCACTATATCATGGCAAAATGCAATAATTTGTCTTTTGCCTGTTACTATTGTCATTTGTGTTCATAGCAGTTTTTAAATTTCATGAAATAACATTTTGGAAACAAATTTTGCACAGCATGTATATTTTAATGAGCTCATTTAAAGTTTCTCATGATTTTATTTCTAATCATGGGAGACTGGAAATTATAAATATATTCATTTTAAAATTTGACAATCACATTTTATATACTTAAATAAGAAATGAATCATTTTATGGGATTATGAATTTTAAAGCCTTTGAGTGTCCAGATAATTTTAAACACCGTTTATCAAAATTTTGCTGGAAATTTGACTTCACACATTTCTAGTCGTTGCTAAAATTTAATGACATTGATAAGAGAAACTGGGAGTGGAGATTTAAATGATTATTTTATTATATTCTGGACACCATTTTCACAGGAGAGTGTTATTCTTGTGATAACTTTTTGTTTCTCTTTCTTTTCTTTAACTCTGATTCCCCACCCCTAGCTCAATATCTGGCACATAATAGGCATTCAGTAGGTATTTATGATGAATAAATCAATGAATTTAAGTATCTCCACTGTTATTCAGAGATGGTTAACATTTGCTTCCTTCAAATCAGTAACTTCTGTATGCAGCAAACATTGTGAATAGAAATAAGTAGATGAAAGGCACAATCACAGACAATAGGGAGGCTTAAGTTCCTAAAATCATATATTGTTATTTTAACCTAAACCACCACAATATTTTGTGTAGTTGAGATTTGGTATTGTCAGAACTCTGTTGGAGTTTTTAAGGTCTGTGAGGATTAGAAAGTGCCCAGAAAGTGGTTCACAGCTGATGTCCCATGTTTTTTTGTTTGTTTGTTTGCTTTGTTTTTAAACAGGATTATCTCCTGAGATGTGTAGAACTGAACTGTTGTCAGAGTTTCAAAGAAATCAATGTTTTTTGGTAAAATGTGCTAATGTAAAGAGTTAGAAGATTAGTGATACATAAGGAAGGCATTCTTTCGCATGGAAATAGGAATATAATAAATGTCCTGCAGGTGATTGGGGCTGTAGCAGTTTTATTGAAGATTAAAGTTTGATTGACCTTTGTTAGGGTGATTAACCCTTCTGAAATTAAAAGCCAGAGCTGAATTATTCTGCTCAATTTAAATGCAAACATCGAGCAGGTCCTATGTCATTCACATAATAATAAGAAGGAAACCTTTCTATTTTAATTTTCATTTTTGCAGCTCTGAGTGGTATGCTACTTTAGAGGGACCATAGCTCTGACAAAAGCATCCTGGTGGCAGAAAATATACAATAACGTTATAGATAATTGGGAGCATATAGGAAGAGTTCCAAGCACTACTCTCTGCATTTAAAACCTCTAAATCACCATCCCAACAAAAGCAGGGAGCATGAAGCCAATCTCCGCACACTGAAAATGCATGCTCCCAATAGAATAACAACCTAGGGATGTCCTGAAGGGGTTAGGAGTAAGTAACAATGGCCTCTCTATTCTAATTTGGTGCCAACCCCTGATACTGCAGATCATATCCATCTTAAATCTACATGATGTCTCCTGAAAATGCGGTCTTTTTGGTACAGTTGCTTATGAAGCAGTTTCTAAAAGTTGATTATTTCTGATGTCTGGAATTTCATTCTCCATGATCTCTGATAGTTTCTGAATGTATTCAGTACTTTCATTAAGTTCAAAAATGCTATAGGAGACGCTAATTATTTGCAATACCATTTAATGGCCTTTGTGAGTAGTTGTGTATTCACATTGCTTCAAAAACTGTTTCCATTTCTCTTATCATATTAATTCTTTTTAGTTCTAAGTCAGTGAATATTTTTAGTTTTAGTTTCCACCACATAGTGAATGTGTCTTCCTTTTATGTGTCTGTGAACTATTAAAATGATAATAAAGATTCTCTTCCTTCCGCATGTAATTTATTTCTCTCTTTTCATCAAAGAATTCACTCTGAATCTGTCAAGGTAGAAAAGTCCAAGGCATTATAGTATAAAAATTAAGAAGCCTGAGGTGCTATAGTTTATTTTTACACAAGCTTTTCATGTATTCTTTTAATATCCTTCTGAAAGATAGGCTTCTACTCCAAGCCTGTGAAGAAAGTCAAAGATGAAAAACTTCAGATAGAGTGACTGAGATTATTCAGCTGGCAAAGTCACTCTGGCATCCTCCAGAGAGTTGGATAATACCTTGAAGCATAGATTAATAATATGTTTAACTAAGATCTGTTTGCTGTAAGGATAATTTCCTAATTCTTAATTGTGGGACAAGTATTCAACCATGAACTGTAAACAAATACATTGTTCTGTACCTTGTCTGATAAAGTGTAGATTACCAGTTTTAGCTTCAGTACATTGAACTGTCAAACTTTAAAAAACTCAGTTGTTTCATAAGACTTGTTTTCTTATTAAAGACAATTTGAAATAAAAGATAAACGTGACCACTAAATTATATCTCTAAAATAAACACTATTAATTCTTCAGACATAAGTTTATTATCTTCTCTAATTTGGATTAATCTTATTTTGCCTCTTACCAGAACTAAATAAAAATAATCATCAGTATTAAAATTTGTTATAAATACAACATTCTCCAAAGTACAAAAAGCTAATGTGCTAAACTACATCCTTCTCTACACTGTCATTAACGATTAGCAGTCTTTTTATTCAAGAAAATCATGAGTTTGGAAGGTGAAATTCATATTGTCTCATATTGTAGAAAAAAGTATTGGTGAAAGAGCAAAGGAAAATAAGATTATATTTTGCTAAATCTCAAATTCAGTAATTTATTTTGCTTCAGTGTGCTTCGAAGACATTTTATTTCTATATGTTGCATTTGTTTTCTATCAATCGATTTCCACCTAATCCACCCAGTCCCAGTCCTGACATTTTCTCTTATAGTTGTGAAATAACATTCTTTGCTATGAATAAGCCAAGATTAATCCATTTGATATTTCATAGACTGCATATTTTAGCTGGCATACTTCTGTTTAAAAAGCAGACTGTTTTAAAAAGTGACCAATGGTGTTATTTTATTTGTTATGCATTGTTTATGAGTCAGCAATTAAAATTAATATTACAGAAATTTAGAGATGTATTATGAGGAATTTTATTCTGCTGGACTAAGGAGAGATAGTGTCAGATTCAAGAAATTTTCTAGTTTTTTGAGATTATTCATGGTAAAAATGTAGTCACATATGGATTTTTTAAGATTATCCTCTTTAACAGACAATAATTTTAAAATAAAATTATTTGATTCATAATGGCCAATGAAATTATTTCTCATAATTTTTTTAATACAATAATAAAAAATGTTCTAGAAACAATAAGTGTCCCAATGTTAACTTTCCAACTTAATTAGGAAGATTAGTTTTCTAGGGCTAGTTTTCAAGTGAGTTGATAGGTGACCTAATATAGTGTAGTGGTCTATGGCCTATTTGATACAATCTATGCTATTTGTGTTAAAATTATCATACTGTCTCTATGTATTAACTTTGGAATCAGAGGACTTTGTAAAAAGATACTTTTACTTCAGGTGTCTTCAGCATTAGCATTTCTGGAGCCATCATTTACTAAAACCTTTATTCAGTTTCAATAAGCCTTTATTAAGCACCTACTATGTTTCAGGTATTCCCCCTTATCCAGTGAGGTGAACCTATGAGCCATGTTTTATAAACAAGAAACTCACACTCAGATTGGTGAAGATTTTACCTGAAGTCAGATAGCTAGCCCGTGGCACCGCCTGGTTTGGAAGCTGGTGACATATCTCAAGCCTTTCCTTCACCAAAGCTGTCTTTGGGATAATCATAACATTCCACTTTGCTAAAACTTGACCATGAGAACAGGATTCTTTAAACCCTTTCCCCAGAAAAAGGAATTTACTAAAACTCAGGAACTACAAAGAGATAATTAATTCTCTACTGATTCACTCTGGAGGAAATACGAGAAGAGGGAGTTTAGAGTGCTTTGGGCAATACACTGGTACACCCATGCAATAAACATTACTCAGTGGGCTCATTTCATGGAGAAAAGAAATTTTCCTCCCCAAATATTAATAGATTAGTTCATTGAAAACCAATCATTAGGCT